CTTTTGTCCTATTCTTTCCACTGCCTAACTCCCTCTGCCCACACTTTTCTTTGTCTCAAAGGAAATAACCACAACTTGCTGAAAACACATGCCCAGCAGCTTTTGGGCTAGTTTTAGCTTCCTCAAGCTTAAGGCAGCATTAAAAGCGTGCAATTAAAATTAAAAATTCAGGATACAATAAAGTTATGTTTAATCAATTAATTAAATTATATTACTGATATGACGCATCCCCATTTATTCCTATAGTCTTACAAATACAGATACAATTATTTTGATTTTTTCTTTCTTTTTCTTTTTTACTTTACTTCAAGAGCAGAAGTGCTGTGTTTTTACTAATTTGCCAGCACTGTGGGAAATTTAACTAGAATTTCTGGATTTTCAGAGTTTAATTAAACAACTTGAACACTCAGTTCAGTCAAGTTAGTTTACTTCTATGTTTCATTACCGTCAGAACTGATATTTGGATTTATTTTTTTTTAATTTAAGATCAGATTTTGACTAGAACCTTATTTCAGCTCAAAATCAGGATTTCAGCATTGAGTATTAATATTAGAAACCTGCACAAAGCTAAAACAGAAGGGTACGAAACTCTTCTGAATTTCTCTGGATCCATCATTTAGTGTAAAGGAGTAGACTGAAGCATGCAGCTGACATTGTTTTTCAGCCCAAGAACGAAAATAAGCAAGTTTTGGCATTTCTTTGCTGATGCAACCTTGACTATATTTTTACCTCGTTAACTTATGGCAAATAAGGTAGGTATTAGCCTTGCCTCTAGCTGTTGCCTATGAGAATGTTTCACTGGCTGTTTACATATAGGCTAGGGCTTTATCACAGGTCTGATGCAAGAAAGCTGAATTTTTTCTCTGGCCTCTGTGACCCCATTATGGTACTTTGTTAGCATGTGTTCTGCGAGCTCGGCCTCTCTCCTACAGCACGGCTATACATTCAAACAATGGACTCAAAACAGACTTGCAAAAAATAGCTTCAAACCAGGCTTACAGACTTCAGTTTGCCTAAATAGATAATTTTTTTGATGTTTTCCTACTTGATTTTTTAACTTTGGTTTAAGGAACACTTTCAGAGCATTTAAAAGCTCAGATAAACCATTTACTGTGGCAAAACTTTACAGAAACCAAAAATATTTCTTGAAGAAAAACTTGAATCTGAAATTTGTAGGAAAGACTACTCAGTCTAAGATATATTTGTGTGCCTCCAGTTGTATCAAGGGTCGCTCAATTGAGATGTAAATGGAGCTTTAAAACAGGAATTAATTAGCATGAAAGTAACATTCTATGTATGTACTTTAATTTTGTCAGACTAAGACTTGTATTTATTTTCACAGGCTATGCCTTCTGGGGATGCAGGGGATTTTTGTTGTACAGATCTCTCTTCTACTTAAATACTTTTGTAGAAGTTTTAGTTACTTGACTCAGCTGCTTTTGGCAATAACTAAGCTGTACATAAAATGTTTTAAAAAAAATAATTTCATTGACTAATTAACTGTCAGACAACCATAACTTGGGGGGGGTGGGGAGGGGAGGGAAAGTATTTCCTTATAAAAGAAGATTGCGCCAGCCATTTTATACTGACATTACCTACACAAATAGATCTCTTGTAATCAAAGTTCCTTAACATTTTATACCTAAAAATATACACAATTTACTAAGGTAACCCATTGCAAAGGAAACAGTTATATGGTACGGCTTTCATGAGAAGCACAGAAGACTAAGCCTAATTTATTTAAAACTAGATAAAGAATAACAGAAACGACCTAATGGAATTATTCAGATATGAGCACTAATGTCTGCAGGAGGAGCCAACAATCCTGCAGCTCAGCCTTCAGCCTCACAGGTAGTTTAAAATTGCCATATACTCTATAATTCACAGACTCAGCTACTCAGTCTGCGTAAGAAACGGAGCAGAAACAAAAACTCAACTGTATTTGACATTAAGTTGCATTCTGATCTTCAGAAAAATATTAAGTAGCAAATGATAAAATAAATACTGTGTTGGGAAAACACATTTTAAATACAAACATTCACGACCACGTTTTTCAAAGGATACATGCATCAATGGCCAATTTAAACAGCTATTTTCATGAATTCCACATCGAAATTGGAACACTTGTTCCTGATGAGATTTGTAAAAGACACAATCAAAATCTAAACCAAACTATTGCCTGAACTGGAAGGCAATAAATTCTCACCAACCCCGGGCAACTGAATAAACATATTTTAAGACATTTAAAAAATTAAAACAGAACAAAACAAAAAAATGTAGACTATGAAACTTCAGCAGCTAGCATCTCCAATTTTGATAACCAAATAACTAATTTATATCCAAAATAATACTTTTTTAATAATAAAAGCAAAGTGTTGCAGAGTTTCTTCAAAGGCCAGCATTACACCAGAATTTTTAGAAAAAAAGAGATGGAGATTTTTTTCTTATTGATAAATAATGGCTACTTGGGAGGAACTCTGGGCATCAAAATCTAACCAGTGCCAGGCATTAAAAAGAAAATTTAACACTCCTTCCGTATAACTTGAAGATATGGAAGCTCCTGGGGCTGAATTCTCCACAGCCCTATGCTGCTGCTAGCTGAAAACACCACTATCGCACCAGTAAGGCAAAACGGATTCTGGAGAGGAGGGTCTCATTGTTCTCACCAAAGGGATTTCATGCTTGGGTTGCTGCCCCATTTTACTCCCTTACTTGATTTTTTTTTTTTTCCCCCCTTGCAAAAGATCTCCTTGATCAAAGGAGGAGCAAACAAGAAATACATTCTGATTTCTCTAAAATGTCAGAAAATAAAACAAAACCAAAACAGAACAAAAACCCATCTGAAACGAGTTAAAATACACTTAACTAGTGAGAAACACTTTTACTTCTGAAATAACGCCTTCGTTTTCAGTTCTCCACTCCTTGTAAAAGCCCCACAAAATATTTTGTAGCTGGAGGAAGCCATATTGGCAATTCTTCCTGTCACTTGATCAAATAAACTTCTGAATATGTCTGGCTGTATTGTACATGATATATTTATATTTTCTCTACATTTTCTTTCCACCACGATTGCAAGGATCTCAGGTTTCAGATATCAGAGTGAAATATGATAAGTTCTGTTTCGAAAGTCCCATTTTAAACCCAGCTGTGCCAAGCAGAGCGAGGGCTGGTGGAAAGTGTGTGTGTATACATTCAAACCAGACCGTAAGCTATTTTCACGTAATTTTAACGTGTGTGACCAGATTTTTGTTTTGCAAGGTCCGTTTGTGAACACTCGAAAGCCGAAAAGTAAGAGAAGCGGAGCAACCAGGTCTTCACTAAAGAGATCCCAGGGCAAAATGGGGGGGGAAAAAAAAAAAAATAAACCACTTACTTTCAAACCAGCGTGCAGAGGTTCGCCCTGAGCCGCGGTGGCAGTGGTTTATGTACCGCAATACACGCTTAGAAACTGTTTGTGTTGTGACCGTGACAGCGCGGCTTGGCGGAACGAGGGCTCCCGGCGAGCGGAAGAGCACAGGCAGCACGGCTAACCTCTTTGTAGCGCTTTTTATTGAGGGAGAAAACCAGCCCCTGAGCAGCAAAC